TGGGTAGGAGATTGCTCAATTTGCAACGGCCTCCTCAGACTCTAGAAGCATTTCGCGTGGAGTTGGTGGTTGCCTGGAATGAGATACCACAGGAGGAGATTGACCACCTGATCAGAGGCATGCCTAGGAGCGTTGGAGAATGCGTAGCACATCAGGGTGCATCCACACATTATTAAAGGTCAAAAGGCTTTAAAGCAGTGCAATCATTTTGAAATTTTTATCATTTACTTATTATGCTTCTTTAAGTACTTATACAAAATTTTATTAAAATAAAACCATTTAAACTGGGTGTTCGGATTTATATGTCACTTAGTATATATCAAAACGTAGCCCATTCAGTTGCTTCATTGGACCTGTGATGCCAAGATTGTGGAACAGCTCACGAAAAACGCTTTTTCCCAGTTTTAAAATCTAATCAGCAGTTTTTAGCAGCCGGTTATTCAATCTTTGGAAATGACAGACGCCATCGATCAGGATGGTCCAGTCTTGCATAGTATCGGGTTATCTGATGGCACCACTCTGCTAGAAAATTTAATGTTAGGATTAAAACCTATTAGCTTCTGTGACCGAGAGAAGTGCACCAACGTTTTGATATAATTGATACTCTTTAAACTACACATTCAGGACTGTGGATTAAAATTATGAATATAGACGATAGGAGAACATCCGAATTAATTAATAATTACAACCTTCTGATTGCCTACTCGTATAACAATCCTGACTCTACTAATTTCTTATATTTATCACCATTGTAATAACAATATGCTTACTTTAATGAAGACATTATAAAACAATTATCAGTTTTGACTTGACAGTTTCTGAGTTTCAACGATGATGGGCACGCACGAGTCTCAAGTCCAAGACACACTGGATTTTGGGGTTTAGCGACAGTTGCCTTTCTAATTGCAATGTTTCTAATTTCCCGTCAAAAGGTAAGTGAGGCTGTTAAATACTTCTAGCCTATGCTGTTGCTTCAGAAGGTGACCGTAAAAAATTTGCTTCATTGCCTCGAAGAGATGTATCCCTAGTTATATTATAATTGAAAAGTGTGGATATTTGTTACTTAGTCACGCCAAAATGGGTGGACGGATCTAAGGTGTCAGACGCGGAAGCTCGTAGTCGCTGGTTCAAACGAAAATTATAAGGGTATATACTGCGGAAGTTTGGGAAATCTCGAAATTGGAGATACTACAGACCAAAATATGTGAATCGACCTAAACATACCAAGTCCAAAAGTTGATAGTTTGCGAGATACGCAATACCCGTGCCAATTTTCAATCGATCTGCTCTCGCACACATCTATTGGGTAATCAGGAATCGTGACTTTCAGTGACTTTTTGAAAATATGTACTCCAGTATATTCAACCAAAAAGTGCCGATATTGTTCACTAGGTGTATTTTCAGATATTTTTATACTTTATGCTGGACAGATCAGTAAAAGATAAACATAAAGTAGGTTATCACAGTGTCAGTGACGAATATAGTTGAGGACTACTAATACGCAAATATATATATGGAGGTGCTAGTTTTACTGTCACCCGCCCTAAATACCGTTTAAATATCTTGTCTCCATTTTATTTATTAGGGCCATTATTATATAGTGCCGCGGTCTCCGGTAAGCCTTGTTCGTACATAGGCACCATTTTGAAGTCCTGTTTCTTCCAGATTCACTAGAAATATAAGTGCCGCTACTGTCTTACACGAAACACACTAACATGGTTATTTTCCATTTTCTACTCGTAAACGGCGGCGTTATACGGCATCGATCATTTCCGGCTCTTGCATTGCTGCACATTTCCCGCTGTCAAGAACGGTTACTTACGGCCACTCCGTAGCGTCGTATTGGCGAGAAGAGAAAAATAAACGCCAGCACATATCCCATAAACTCCGTGCTTTAATGCTTTCCACTTATAACTTTAAACTCCCATATTCCGTGATCGCGCACACTGGCAAAAATCACGCAAATGCAGAACGATGGCAGTTAAAACTGCTGTCATTACTGGTAATATAAACGAAAGGGGTGTGGGGTAAACGGTTGTCTCACAGCCAACAGCACGCAGATGTGAGTGCAATTTGTTAGTTACTCAGACCCAGAACTAAATTTTTACTCCGTCCTCACTACAACAGATAATCAAAGACAAACTAACATGTTCTTCTTCCAACATATACGTGAATCACATAAAATGCCCGTGTGAGGCCAATAATGCCATTTAGGTAGTGCTATAAACGAAGCTGCTTATCATTCGACTCAAAGGATTGCAAACTCGAACCTCCGCCTCGGGAGGAAATTTGATACTACGTGGTCGGTGCAAAAGGGTCAAAGGTGGTCTAGTTTCCAGGCTCACCTTTCTACCATTACTACTGCTACTTCTACTGTTACTACTAACTCTTTAGCACTACACGGTGTCGAATTCAGTCGTTGGGACGGACTTTTATTGATACTTAGATATTAGAAGATCATTTTTAGGAAGAATAAAGTTAACTAATTGGTTGTGGGTGGTTTAAAACAAAGCTAGTCCAAAAAACTCATTATTTGCAGTAATGACAAGAGGTTAACTGGATGCAGACCAGCCTTTCAACAAAAATATTCTCAGCTAAAAATCTCAAAAACTAAAAGACGCTTATTAAACAAATTGTAATCGTGGTGGAGAACCTGTATACGTAAGAGTAGCTACGGGATTACTTTTGATTTTCTGGACACCCTCTATTTATGTATCAGGAAAACGTATACATATTTCCATTTATGCTCCTATATCGCTACATTTTTTTGACCTGCCTTCTTGAAATGCTCGAAGTGGAAGATGATCATAAGCTAATATGCATGGGTCTCACGTTTAAGGAACATGTAGGTATGGGTGTTATGTGTTGGTTATCTAGAACAGAATTACTTCGCTCCAGCTTGACTGATAAACACCGACACAAATTTACCTCTCGAGTCCCCTCACATGTACCAAGACAAAGTTTTCCCTCAATTTGTCTGTACCTCGTTCCTACCTCCTTGAAAATCCCCAGTATTCATAATAAAACAGTATCACCTGTTAAGGAAGAATGTTTATAAGCAAACATACACCGAGTTAGTTGAAGTCATTTTAGCACCACAGGTTGAGCAAATTGTGTCATACTGACAGAACGAGGGGTGGTATCTGGATGTCTCATATCTTCAAAGCATCTGAGAAAATTGACAACCCACGGCCATCTGATAGTTTCTTCAGGCATGCGATGGGTACGCCATCCACCGACTGAAAATGTTTTTCAGTTCTAGTGACAAATGTACCGGGAAATGTATGGTGTGTTAAGTATGTCTAACAGGTGCGTAGAATTACCGGGGCTGGAAGTGTATTACATACTACCATCAAAATATAGCAATACAGCCTCCCTCAATTTCCTACAACCCTCACATATTAATTTTTTACGCCCAAAAGTTTTTCAAAAATCAACAGACAAACGTCAAAAAACGAGGTTTGGGCGATTTTTATATTGTTCTGATTTTGACATTTTTCTCCGCTGCCACTGGACCAATTTCCAAATACTACAAAGCTTTTGCCTTCTTGGCATATTAATAACATTGTTTAAAAATTTCATCAGAGTTACAAGCCGACACACCAACAGACAGACCGATTGAAATGAGTGACTTGGCTTTTCGTGATTTGCATGTCATATAAAATCTCATCTTTGAAATGTTTCTTGATTACAGTACTTCCTCGCTAGTACGCGTGGGAAGTACAATAAGTAATAAATAAAAAGGCCAGGAAAGTAGAAGTTGACGTTGAAGTTTTTGCTCCTCTAATTCTAGTATTACGGCTGCTATATTCCTCAGCATTAAACAAACATACCAGCTTAAATAATCAAATAGTAGAATAGACTTAAAACGAAATCAGCTACTAGTGTCTTTATGAGCAATACGAGAAACATACCCAGACATTATAAGTAACAACCTTACATTCCACTCGTATTATCATTGGCTGCTGCTTGACAGGTATTAAATTTCATTTCCCGGCCAATGATATTAACACCGCGCTTGTATTATGCGTTTATCAACATTGTTCAACTTGGCTAAGCATTTGTGCCATTTCATGGTCTTCCTCATCATTTTCTGATTATCGTCATCACATATGAATATCTTCCAAACGATGAAAAACTGATTTCATGCATATGATTCTTAATGATAGACTTCTGACATCAAAACGCAAATAAAAAATAAAATAAATAAAATTAAAATGACAGACAGCTTCGCGCCTCGAAATAAAAAAATTGCAGCATGGTGAGACGTTAAAAGCACCAAGAGAGAGAAGTGATGGAAAGGGAGAAAATTTCAACGAGCTACTCCAAAGACTATAAAATCTTCTACATCTTAAACTTAGCCTGCGGTTTTTGTGTTCTGTGTGTGTACCTTAAATATTAATATAGTTATTTTCATCCTGATACAACTTCACCCCAAACTGCAAGTAATTTAACCGATAGACAGCCAGGATGGAATTCCCAATTAGCATAGCGCAGAGGTAGGGACACGTATCGAGAGCCATTGCGGGCAATTATTATATTACGGGTCTCTACGTGACACGAATCGCATAAAGAGAATCTAGACTGGGCTTGACTTAGCACGTACTGAGGGAAGCACTAACATGAAACTAGGTTGATATATATATATAATCAGCTACTAGTGTCTTTATGAGCAATACGAGAAACATACCCAGACATTATAAGTAACAACCTTACATTCCACTCGTATTATCATTGGCTGCTGCTTGACAGGTATTAAATTTCATTTCCCGGCCAATGATGTTAACACCGCGCTTGTATTATGCGTTTATCAACATTGTTCAACTTGGCTAAGCATTTGTGCCATTTCATGGTCTTCCTCATCATTTTCTGATTATCGTCATCACATATGAATATCTTCCAAACGATGAAAAACTGATTTCATACATACGATTCTTAATGATAGACTTCTGACATCAAACGCAAATAAAAAATAAAATAAATAAAAATTAAAATGACAGACAGCTTCGTGCCTCGAAATAAAAAAATTGCAGCATGGTGAGACGTTAAAAGCACCAAGAGAGAGAAGTGATGGAAAGGGAGAAAATTTCAACGAGCTACTCCAAAGACTATAAAAGCTTCTACATCTTAAACTTAGCCTGCGGCTTTTGTGTTCTGTGTGTGTACCTTAAATATTAATATAGCTTTTTTCATCCTGATACAACTTCACCCCAAACTGCAAGTAATTTGACCGATAGACAGCCAGCATGGAATTCCCAATTAGCATAGCGCAGAGGTAGGGACACGTATCGAGAGCCATTGCGGACAATTATTGTATTACGGGTCTCTACGTGACACGAATCGCATAAAGAGAATCTAGACTGGGCTTGACTTACGTACTGAGGAAAGCACTAACATGGAACTAGGTTGATATATTATTTTCTTGTCATTTTTTTCGTACGAGTTTCCGCAAGCTCTATTTGAAGCTTTGAACACATTAAGTCTATCGATGACAGACACTTTGGCTCGCAGCGTCCAAGATACTGTGCGAAGGTAGACGAAAAATCTTACGATCTCCATCTTCCAATGGTTTGCCGAGCTGATCTTTATCCTCATTCCACACGATGAAGATGACAGAAGACCCCTACACTCCCGGCTCAAAACCGCCCCACGTTCTGCGCAATGCACATATAGGTGTCCGGCCACCTAAACGGTCGAACCATGCAGCAGCAGCAATACAAAGTATTTACAAAGCAGACCAAGAATGGCTGTCTATGCATATATGAACAGGTAGACATGGTTGAAATGAATATGTTTATTTTCCTCCACCTTCGCGGTATGGAATGAGGATAAAGATGAGCTTGGTTTGGCACTGCTAGGGATCGTTAGACATTATGCCTACTTCCGCAGAGTATTTTTAGTTTTTCAAAAGACTAAACCCACTTGTTTGCTTTCCGCCCACCTATCTTCGGGACTACAGATGTATCGTATTTACAGAGACGGAAAGGAAATCTGTCCATTTTTAACAGCTTCAAAGATCTCATTGTACCGTTGAGAAATACCATCCGATTCCCTTTTTTGGTGGAAGTTCTAAATAGATATTTCACTTTTAATTTTGGTTCAAAACTGGTGTTGTTTGCTGATATGTCCTGTTAGTATCCCGCAGTTCAAAAAATGGATCAATAAGGTATTTCATGTATTCATAGCAGTCGCGTTACCTTCAATATGCAAAACCCTGTAGACAACTCTACGGTAGTGAGAGTTAATTTTAACTACTATATCTTACAGTTTCTAAGATCTTGGTATTGTTGGAATACATTTTGGAAACATTATTCGTATTTTGCCTTTTAGTTAACATTCCAAATAGGTCACATTTTTTGCTTCTGTTGTGGCTTACCTCCTGACGCTATATAGGTGGTGTATCGGACGGTGACCGATTACACTGATAAACACAGGATTTGTGACATGAAAATTTTTGGGTGTATCTTATTTATTTTGACACCCTTAAATCAAATCTAAAAACAGAATTTTTCTATCACCCACAGATATTCGGTAGCATCTACTTTTATGAATTACAATACGTAACATCTCATATTGCTGCATTTCTCGGCGTTTATGCGATGACGCATATATATAATGTCTATTCCTGTTTATTATATGCGAGCTCTATGTCTAGAGAGTATATTGCGTTCGTTACTAGACTAAGATCGGCCGAGTTAGTTACGTTTTCTGTCTTGTTCTGAGTACTGTTAATTTTTGTTAAAACCGTGTGTTGTTTCAAGTTTATTGTGATCGAGACTAGCTTTATGGGCAATGACTAGAAATTCTGTAAGCAGTGTGAACAGGTTTTGTTATGTGTGGGGAGAGCTAACTTTTAAATCCCAAAAACGTAATTTTACTACCCTTGTGTTGAAAGCATGCAAACTTCATTTTGGAATTAAAGTTTACGACCAAGATATATGTTGTAAGCCTTGTGTCACGTTGTTAACAGGTTGGTTAAGAGGCGACAATCGTAAAATGCTCTTTGCGGTACCAATGGTTTGGAGAGAACCGAAAGACCATACTACTGCTTGCTATTTTTGCCTCACAAATATTAAGGTATTGGACCAAAATCGAAATATACTGCTAAGTATTTTAATTTACCATCAGCTTTGCGGCCCGTTAAACATAGCGATAAACTTTCTGTCCCAGTTCCACCAGAATCTTGGTTTTTGGATGGAAAGGTGGAATCCACCGATTCTGAAAGTGATGGTACAGAAAGCGTGAAAATTTCCGATCGTTTAACAGCACCGCATTTGATCAGACAGGGCGAACTTATTAACTTAGTTCGACAATTAAATCTGTCAAAATCCCAGTCAGAACTTTTAGCGACAAGATTAAAGGGATGGAATCTTCTCCACGGTGATGTTAACATTACTTTTTACCGAAAACGGCAACAATACCTCACACACTGTTTCCGTCAAAAAAGGGAGTTGGTATATTGATTGGCGCCTGTTCATTGATTCCTCTAAGCTTAGTTTAAAAGCGGTAATGGTACACAACGGTAATAAATATCCATCAGTACCTGTAGCGCTCGCAGTTCATATGAAGGAATCATATGAAAATATGCGAGTTCTGTTAGAGCATATCCGTTATAATGAATATGGATGGGCCATATGTGCAGATTTAAAGGTAATAGCCCTTCTTCTTGGAATACAACTGGGATATACCAAATGTTGTTTTCTTTGTGAATGGGACAGTCGTGCGCGAGATAGTCATTATAAACAGGAGTGGCCACTACGTCAGGTATTAACTCCGGACCCTAAAAACATTGCTTATGAACCACTAGTTGATCCCAGAAACGTGTTGCTTCCACCTTTGCATATTAGGTTGGGACTGATGAACATTTTTGTGAAAGCTATGGATCGAAATGGAAGAGAGTTTCTACATTTAAATTTTATTATTATTATAATATTATTAATATTATAATATTATTATAATATATATATATATATATATATATATATATATATATATATATATTTTCCGCCTTTTGTTGGGTACTTCGACAAAATTTAAGCAAAGATGACTCTTTATACTTTTTTTAATTCTCTCTAGCTTTCAATGGACTTTGCCATCATCATCAGGAGCTGCAATTACAATGATAACAGTAGCAACAAAGGTGTAAAATGAATTTAAATTGACTCAACTTACAGTAGTATGTGAGGATGTTGCTAATTGTTGTTTACGTATAGGATGAGGGAAACGTCCAGTAACATGGTGAGAGCTGGATAGATTGTACAATAGTCAAACTTATATAAAATATGACAAGAACAAGTTAAAAACAGATTAAAAATTATTTAAAAAATTAGAGCATTACATCGTGAAGCCACTTGATGATTGCACAAATTAGTGGTCATGGAATGATGAGTGACATGAAACCCTTTGACAGAAGGCCGAAGGATGTCAATGTCAGTATTGAAAGATGGAACGAATTGTGGGCGTGTGCCAAACGTTGCCAAATCACTTCAGATGATGAGATTTTCAGAATTTTATGTTAGAATTTTTTAAACCGACCAGAGGCAGTTGAATAAACTATATTATTATTAATGGGAATTTAAATTAACAATTATTAATAAATCGTGAGGAGAGAATTATTATATTTTGAGTGGAATGAAATTTACTGGTGGAATCGGCCAAAACACAGACTCTAATTATGGTTGTGAAGAGTTGAAATTTGGGGAGATATGTAAGTTCTCCAATTTTTTCGCAGTTTAGCAAATATGAGTAAATGACACTCAGTTGTTTAACATCTGTCTTTTTGTTGATACAGTTGTTATTCATGAAAATGTGGGACATTTCCAGGAATAAACGTTTGGAAAGGTGTTTTTCTTTATCAAGAACTTTGATACTTGTGTAATTCATAGAACGCCCTGTTGTGTTAACATGAGATGCTAGAGCGCATCTTTCAGGATGAAGCCTAGCATCGCTTTTGTGTGATGTAATCCTTCCTTTAAGAGATCTGGAGGTCTGACCTATGTATATTTGGTTGCAGTTGTTGCAATTGATGGAGTAGACTGTGTTGGTTAAGCCAAGCAGCGGGACTTTGTCTTTCATTTTTGAAAAAATGCAGTTTATAGTGAGGACGGATTTGCAAGCAATTCGAAAAATTGGAGAACTTACATATCTCCCCAAATTTCAACTCTTCACAACCATAATTAGAGTCTGTGTTTTGGCCGATTCCACCAGTAAATTTCATTCCACTCAAAATATAATAATTCTCTCCTCACGATTTATTAATAATTGTTAATTTAAATTCCCATTAATAATAATATAGTTTATTCAACTGCCTCTGGTCGGTTTAACAAATTCTAACATAAAATTCTGAAAATCTCATCATCTGAAGTGATTTGGCAACGTTTGGCACACGCCCACAATTCGTTCCATCTTTCAATACTGACATTGACATCCTTCGGCCTTCTGTCAAAGGGTTTCATGTCACTCATCATTCCATGACCACTAATTTGTGCAATCATCAAGTGGCTTCACGATGTAATGCTCTAATTTTTTAAATAATTTTTAATCTGTTTTTAACTTGTTCTTGTCATATTTTATATAAGTTTGACTATTGTACAATCTATCCAGCTCTCACCATGTTACTGGACGTTTCCCTCATCCTATACGTAAACAACAATTAGCAACATCCTCACATACTACTGTAAGTTGAGTCAATTTAAATTCATTTTACACCTTTGTTGCTACTGTTATCATTGTAATTGCAGCTCCTGATGATGATGGCAAAGTCAATTGGAAGCTAGAGAGAATTAAAAAAAGTATAAAGAGTCCTCTTTGCTTAAATTTTGTCGAAGTACCCAACAAAAGGCGGAAGCTTTAATTTTTCACCTAACTGGTCTAGACGACAATGACCACGTCTCAAGTTATATATATATATATATATATATATAATATAATATTATTATAATATTTATTAATTTATGGGTCCACAAATACGGAAAATCATGAAGCATGATGTATTTGACAGTGCTCTACTGAATTACGAGCTTGGAATGCTTTTAAATCAGATACTGTAAATGCGAAGGCGGATAATTATAAAGATATTGTGAATGATCTAACTAATGTTTATAAAGTAATGGGT